AATCACATACAAGAGGAAGTGAGGGGAAAGGGAAAAATAATACAAGGGGGAGAAATGAATGACAGTAGAGGTGGTAGAGAGAGAAGAGGGGAGGGGAGGGGAGGGGAGGGGGGATAGTAGAGGATAGGAAAGGCAGCAGAATACAATAGACACTAGTATGGCAACATGTAAATCAATGGACGTGTAACTGATGTGATTCTGCAATCTGTATACGGGGTAAAAATGGGAGTTCATAACCCACTTGAATCAAAGTTGAAATATGATATATCAAGAACTATGTAATGTTTTGAACAACCAACAATAAAAAATTAAAAAAAAAAAAGAAAATAAGAAACATCTGTACTCCCACCAAGATAAGGAACATTGTTTGGTGATTCTTACACAAACAAATGTGCCCACATATGTAGTTCATTCCTTATATTCAATTGTGTGCTTTTTAAACTGAATATTACAATTTCAAAAATGTCTTGTTTAAGTAACATTTCTTAAAACTGTGATTCTTAGTGGCTGTAAGATGATGAAACCTTCATCAGACAAAGGTATTATAATTTATTTATACTAGACACTAGTATGGCAATATGTAAAAACGTGGATGTGTAATTCTGCAATCTGTATACGGGGTAAAAATGGGAGTTCATAACCCACTTGAATCAAACGTATGAAATATGATATGTCAAGAACTATGTAATGTTTTGAACAACTAATAATAATTAAAAAATTCTCTCTCTCTAAAAAAATAAATAAATAATTTATTTAAACAACCCCCTATTGTCAGATAGTAAGCCACTATCCAATATTTAATTCTTATGAACAACACTATAGTGAATACCGCTGTACAAAAATTTCTATCCACACTTATCATTCCTTTTCCTTAGAATAAATTCTGAGAGTGGAATTTCTGGATTGAGGGGCATGAACATACTTAACATTGTCGTCTTACATAAATGTACTAACCTCTTAAGACTATTGTACCAATTTTTTAAAAATGTTCATTTCATATCATTGTTGCCAAAACTGTATGTTATTATTAAGACAGGAAAAATAACTTGGCCAAATTTCAAAGGTTAACCAATGGCATTTCTTCATTTAAATTTGTAATTAATTTTCAAGATTACTTTTAATTGCCTATGCTTTTATGTGTTTAGTGGTAATTTGGATTTGGGTTTTATTTTTTATGAGGTCTTTTCCATATCCTTGGCCCAAAGCCAAACTCCTGGAAAGGATGCCCTCTTTTTTCACATCCTGCAGTCTGGGCTCACCATTTACCTTCTTAAATGCTAAATCCTGTTGGTTTTTCTGCAGTTGCCTTAGTGGACCTTCTTGGGCTTTTATTTTCCCCCCAAACACTGCATTTTCTGCTTTTTTGTGTCATTGCTAAGACTGTTCCCTCTGTAGGCAGACTATCCCTTCTCCCTCTTTAATTGCTTAATTACTTCTCACTTTCCAAGATTTAGCTGGGAGGCATCATTACCTCTACTCAGCCTTCACCTGGTCCCCCATCCTCTGGCTTTGTACTTCTCCCCTTTGTACTTCTATAGCACCACAAAAATTCAACACATCACCACTCTGTGCCCAACTACATTTTTGTACTGTACTTATTTCTGTGTTTACTTCTCCTACCAGACCGCAAGCTCCTTGTCCATAGGGATCTTTTCTTATACATCTTTGTATCCACAGTGCTGGTGGGAGGTAAGTAGTCAATAATACTGAACTGACCTCCACCGTAGCACCTGGCCCTGGTGACCGACCATTCCCTTCTCCTTCTATGGTGTCTTCTCACTTGTGCCTGGCTACTCCTCTTAGTTTCCTCACTTGAGCACTCCTTGTATTTGGCTAGTCTTTTTTTATGTTTGCATAAAAAGTTTACATTTTATTTAGGCTTTGTATATTTATTCCAAGAATATAGTAAGTGCCTCTGCTACATATATTCTCTCTCTCTCTCTCTTTTTAAAAACATGTGTATATGTCTTAATAAGGAAATATGTAGAATTTACTTTAAAAATTTACAGACACATATAAAAACTCTCAATCACACTTTCCATGTAGGAAGATGATAAATGACAGAGATGCCCATGGCTAGGCTTAACTGCTGCTATTCTGCAGGGTTCCCTTGCTGTTCTTTTCTTCCAGATCTCATGGGTCTAATCCATATCTATAATTCTAAGATTCCATAAGTCACTGATACTCCAACTTCTCACCAAAGTCACAAACCAGATTTTCCAACTGCCCATTGGATATTTCCACATAAGTTCCTATGACTCCTTAAGAAATCATCGTGCTAAACACTGGACTCGTTTTCTTTCCTCCATAACTGGCTCCTTCTCCTCTATTCCTCAACTCAATAAATGATACCATATCTATACAGGTGGAGGAGCCAGAAACCCAGAAGACAGTCCCCCCTCCTCTGATGGCTGACTGGTCATCAGTCCTGAGGACTTTCCCTTCTTCTTGCCCTTCCTATTGCTCAGTCCAGTTGTCTCAGTTAATATTTCATGCCTGAGAACAAGAAAAGTCTTCTTGTTCTCATGTCTGGCTATTTATTTTCCACGAATCCTCCATACTGCTACTAGAGCAAACTCAATAAAACACACATCCTAGAAGGGGAATAACTAGGATGGTGGAAGGAGACGGTCATCATTACACAACATACATGTATGAAGATGTGAATTTGGTGTCAACATACCTTATATACAAAAAGAGATATGATATTGTAGTATAAAGGTGTATTAAGAATTGTATGCAAAAAATGAGTGCTCATGTATAATGGCATAATTTGGCATGAACATATTTTATATACAGAGTTACAAAAAATTGTGCTGTGAACGTATAATTATGAATGTAATGCACTCCACTATTGTCATGCATGTAAGAAATAAAACACACACACACACACACACACACACATCCTATCCCAGACTCTACCTTTTGTGGTTCCCTAAGCCAGCAGTATGAAGGATAGACTTCTGGCTTCACGAGAGTATCCGAGGGCCTTCAAGAATGGGTCCATCCTCTTTGAAGAACTCATCTCCCACATACACACTGAGATTTTAGGCTCCTCGATGCTGCGCTTTCCTGAATGTAACCACCTTCCTCTGCCCCCATGCCTGTGCCCTATCCCGCTTGCCTGGAATATCCCTCTCACTTTCATTTGCTTATTGAACTCCTACTTAACCTTCAAAATGCATCCTGATAATCACATCAGGGAACCTTCCAAGGGCCCAGATGAGTCTGCTGTGCTCCCTTTCACGTAGCCTTGACTCAGCCTGTGGGGTGCTAATGGCTCCACCGTGGGTCTCCCCAGCTGGATGTCAGTACTTCATGGGTGGAGCTGTGCCTTGTTCATTTCATTCAACTCAGAAGGACCCAATAAATGTTCAAGGGTGATTAATGACACAGCCGGAACTTACAGCTCATCGTCCCTTCACAGCTAAATGCCTAAAAGCATCAATATTACCGTGTCTATAGTCTCATATTTCCTTTTTTCTTTCGCATGTTGTACCTACGCTTTCCCCAATTACTTCAATGAGACTATGTGGCAAAGATCACTAATGATCCTCTAAGCAACAAATACTGTAGTATGGACTCTCTCGGACTTTTCCTTCACAGCCTCTTATTCTGGTTTCTCGTCCTCATCTTACCCTGTAAACAACAGTCTCCTCACTCTTTCCTTCTCTCTGGGTGTTCTGATTCACCCGAGGGCTTCAGCTACTGCCAACATGCTGAGATTCCTACACCTAAGTCATCCTCTCAGACTACCTAGAAGTCCCACAGGTACCTGCGACAAACTTGATCAAAACTGAAGTTATCCTTTGCCTCCAGGATCTGCTCCCTTCACCTCTATCAGTGAGGAGAGCCCCTGTCCATACAGTCTCCCAAGCAGAATTATGAAAATCTTAGCCTCCTTCTTTCCACTCATAACTTATATACCGAGTAAGTCACCCAGTCTTGTTGATTCTACCTCCCGAATATTTCTGGAATATCTCGCCCCCTCTCCTTCACTACTGTTTGTGACTTGCTCTGGCTTCTTTCCTTGTAAGAAAGAATGACCACAGGTGGTCACCTAACTGGTCTCCCCCTATTGTCTCCAACCTTCCATTCTACCCTTCATGTAGGGCAGCCTGAGTACTCTTTCTACAACACAAAACGATTTATGTTTCCTTCTCTGCTAAAAGCGATGGATTTTTCAAACCTCCAGGGGTAACATCTTGCCTTTTTCTGCCTCTCCCAATGTGACTATTGCCATTCCCTCAGGGTCCCTGTCCTTCTGCAGTCCTGGAGCTTCACACCAGCGTGCCTCCGTTCTTGTGGCTTGCTGGGCCAGGAATGACCTTCCTTTGTCAAAATTGAATTCCAGGATCCCCTTCTAGACGGAGCTTCCCTACTTCTGTTGTGTTTCATGGCAGCCTGTGTAGACCCTTGCATATCAGAGCCCTAGACTAGTTGGCAAGGCCTCTGAGGACAGGGACCATGTCCTTTTCATCTTAGAGTGGCAACATGCCTGACGCAGCAATTTACAGATGAGGCATTTATCAGCACTGTGACTCTACTGGAGAAATGTAGGGCAACATTTTGGGGGCACTCACCTTTGGACCTGGTGAGCATAATTAATACCATAAGCATGAGGGGCTTATAACTGGCAAGTGAGGGGCTGGGGTGGTGGCTCAGAGGTAGAGCGCTCGCCTAGCATGCGTGAGGCACTGGGTTCGATCCTCAGCACTACATAAAAATAAAATAAAGATATTGCATCTACCTATAACTAAAAAATAGATATTAAAAAAAATAACTGGCAAATATATACCATCATTCTCCGGGGTACTAGGAGGCCACAACTCAGCACTGGTTTGCTTATTTTGCACGGGGAAAAGGTGAGGCCCAGAGTCCACCGGGAGAGGGTCTCCTAGGGTCCCTGGAAGGTAGAACCTGAGCCTCCTTGCCCCCACCCTGAGGGCAAAAACCATTTCACACTACAGGGCAGGTGGGGGTCCCCGGTAGAAGCTCACCTTGTGGCCTAGAAGTTCCTTTGGGCACGTGGGTTGGACCTGTTCAGGGCTTTCTTTTCCACAGCACTGAAACTAGAAAGTCAGAAAGAGATGTTAGGACAGGAGCCGGGAAAGCGAGAGTTATGAGTCTGGGCATCCCTGCTGAGAGCAGGTGGTGCCGAGGCAGCAAAGCAGCTATAAGGTCCTTCTCTACAACCCAAACTGCTATTTCTAGAAAGGGAGCAAAGAATCACATCGTCATGCTAGCAAACTAAGAAAATGACTTCCTTAAAGCTGTCTGAGTTTCACCATAGGAAGTGACTCAAGGCAACCGGAACAAGGCAAGAAGCTAATAGACAGCGTCTGTGAAAATTGCTGCTTTTTACACAGGAGCTGGGCCTTTGGAGTCCTTCCTTCAGAAGGGGATTCATATAACCTGTTGAGGAACTAAAGTTTTATGAGCTTTGAGAAGGGCTCATTAACTAGGGGCTGTCTGTGAAGGACAGAAGTGGTCACAGTAAACCCCAGGGGTCCAAAGACCGACTTTCACACAGGCTAGCAAACAGGTGACTTGCTTTAGGGCTTGCCCTGTGAGACAGAGGGACCTGTGTGCTGCTCGATGGCTCTGGGGTACTTGCCAGCATTTTTTTTTTTGTGACAGAGAAGATCCAAGTACCTGACAACGCTTGGCCCAAGAGTTCATAGCGTTTCTCCAGTATCAGTGTTTAAGAAATCAGAACGACTCTGGCTTGGCCCATTTCCTCTGTCAATCTTCTTTGATTAACTGTATGTAGCTCTGAGCACTCCATTGACAGCACAGGCCCACAGAAGGCTCCAGAAGGACAGTCTCACCTGCGACCCTTCATTTTACAAATGAGGAGATGACTGTGTATCAGGGAGACCAAAAAACTTGCTCAGGGTCACAAAGCTGTGAAGTAGCAAAGCTGCAGCTGGAAACTAGCTTTCCTGACTTACAGGCCACACTTGCTTCTGCCACACCACCATGCTGCTCTTTGAGAGACGCTGACATTTATTTGGGCTGCTTTCTCTGTGTTCTTGTTCGCCCTCCTTTGTCTCTTTTGGGCACACACTCTGACTTCCTCTTGTGAACTCGGTGGTAGGCCTCTTTCTCTTCTGGGGTTCTATACAGAATGCAAACTATGGCTCTCACAAGGGCTAAAATAAGATGCTGCTGCTTGCCTTTACTGAATTTATTTTTATTTTGAATCCAGGTGCTGGGGAGAGAACCTGGTTCATACATGATCTTTAGAAGACATGAGGTTAAGGAACAAGTCAAGTTACTTACTGCTGAGTGGAAGGTAACAAGAGTCCCATTTCCCTTTCCCCTGTCTTTAAGGTAATCATTGTAAGCCTCTTCGTACATGGTCTGTACGTGTCGTATAGCCTGAAAAATACCAGGAAAACTGAGGGTATGCTGAGTGGGAAGTTTCAAACAATCTCTTTTCATCAAAGAAAATCCCTTGTTCTATACCCCTTAAAAACACTGCCTTTCCATGTATTTAAAATGATTCTGCATATATGACACAGAATAGATTCTAGAGTTTCTTTTTGTCATGCTCGGGATTAAACCCAGGGCCTTGTGCATGCTAGGCAAGTGCACTACTGCTGAGCACATCCCCAGTTGATTCTAGAGTTTCTAAGATGCTTTTGAGGATGAAAGGACAGACTAACCCAAGAAGAGTTTTCATAGACCAGAAAGATTTCTTAGAGTGGAGGTTTCCAAAACCTGATAGGGCTTCAGCATCAGTGGGAACCCAGTTTCCTGGGCTCCACCCAGGAGATTCTGATGCACAACCAGGGCTGGGAACTACGCAATCATGGTACCTCACTGGTTAAAAGGACTGAAGTCTTCTCATGGCATTGTTTAACAGATGTTCACCACCAAAGAAGACTTTTTGCATTCAAATACCATATAAAGTTTGGAGAATGCTTCTCTGATATAAAAGCATGTGACCCCCTAATCCACAGAAATCTCAAAAGGTCCTACGATATAGTTTCACTTCTGTATGGAGCTGAGTTTAAAGTAACCTATGAATATAACCAGCTACTTTGGAAAAATTCCAAAAGAGGTGACATTTCTTATTGTATAGGTTTGTCATTTTTTTGGTCTAAAATAAGTTCATTAACACATTATTGACGGCACATGAATTAATCTGAAATATAGTACACAGTGCCATTCTTCCATTCTTCTTTCTTTTCCCTTCCATCCCTTTCTCTCTCTCTCTCTCTCTCTCTCTCTCTCTCTCTCTCTCTCTCCAAGTGTTTATCTTTCCCAAAGCCTATTTCACTTGTGGGTTCTCCTGATACTGTTCTGGACACCTGGAGTTGGGCAGCAATCTAAACTGACTTTGGGAGCACACAATAGGTCAAGTTTTAGTCTCTGAGGATGTCACAGACTCTGTACAGGCCAAGCCTTAAGGATAAACCAGGGATGCATGTTCTTCTCAGTCCCCTTTTTACTTTTGCCTCATTGTGAACTAGGGATAATCTTAAACTAGTGAGCTTATTTCAAAAACCATACACTACATTATAAATTTAATAAATGCTATGAACAATCTCCCTAGAAACACACATAGATGTGTACATATGCATACTAATACATACACACGCTCAGTCCTATGCACTACTTCGTTAGATTAAGAAGTTCTGCTCATTCTATAACTTTGGGCACTATTTGGTTTTTTAAATAACACTCTATGTATCTCATAACTTTTGCCATAAAAAAGTAATTTTTACTTACTACACCCTTGCCTATAAAAGCAAATACTCCAGTGGTTACTTCAGCAGCGAATATCACCAGTAGGCAGGTAAAAAACTGTAGAGGAGAGAAAACACTAATTTCATTAATTTAATACCTTTTCAATGTATTCAGTCCCTTTGACTTTAGTTATATTGAAAAGGCATTAGGCAAGGTTATTAGTTTGAGTTGATCCAGCAGTAAGCATTTGCCCCTTTAGTTTCCTTTATGCAACCGTTGTTTTTTTCATTCATCTATTCATTCATTCAGCAATTGTTTATTGAGCATCTGTTCTGCACCAGTTACTGTCCCTGGTTCTTAGTATACTATAGTGAACAAGGTCTCAATGTCTCTGCGATCATGAACTTCACATTGGATAGACGAAGATACTAATGAATAAAGGATTTTAAATTTGAATAAGAGAATTTTATAGAGTGACACAGAAATGCCACCATCCCAGGTCAGTGCCTGGCCACCTATGTGCTCAATAAATACTTGAAGAGCAAAAAAGACTCTATCAAGATATCAAGCAGGGTCAGGAGATAGGTATCATGGGGCCTGGGCTTGGAGAAGAGTATGGAAAGGCTTCTCTAAGGGGGTGTGTATTGTGGGGAAGTGGGTGTCCTCTTGGACAAATTTCCATTCAGGTCTTGGGTTTGCTTTGATCAAACCAAGTTCATTGATTTGTCATTGATAAACAAGAGAGAGATGCCCAACAGCAGGGGAGAGAGAGAAAGAATGGGTGGGTGAGGAAACAAGTCAGGCATTTTTATATAGCAAGAGGTCAGAAGCAGCAGAGTTAAAAAATCCAAAGGTTGCCATGAGTGACTAAAATGAGAGACTGCCTAATAAAAGTGATGCTTCAGACTCCCAATGGAGAAACATAAAAACTCCCCCTGCCCCTTCTTTCTTCTTGTTTCACTTATACATTGGCATTGGCTTTATAGCAGTTAACTGATTTTTTTTTTTTTAAACCAGAGACTGGTGGTTAAAATAAGCCACTAGAGGGATGTTTGGTTAAGTTATTGATCTTAACCAGAAATGCTTTTCTTATAGATAACAGCACTTCCCTTGCCTATAGGAATCTTTTAGCTGCCTCATCCACAGTGAAATATTATTTTTTAAAAAAATAATCATAATTGCCCCTTACAATTACCAGGCACTTTTCCTTCCTAAACCTCTTTACACTAATGACCTCATTTTTTTCACACTTTCCATATGAGGCAGGAACAAAAATAATATTATTCTTATGCAAGAGACAGAGAAACCCCAGACTTAGGAAGATAAGGGAGAGTCAAGGGCTCAGTGAGTCCTGGGGGACCCTGGGCTGCAGGCCAGGCATCCTGACTTCCTTCAGACCAGCGCCTCTGACCCTACCCCTCCATGCCCCACTTACTGATCCGAGCACACACTGTGACTCCCGCATGGCTCCACAGCACCCAAAGAACCCCACGGCCATCATCAGGGCCCCAGCTCCAACCAGCACATAGAGCCCTGTGGGAAAGAGGTCAAGGGAGACTATTCAGAGTCAGGCTAAGTGAAGTGCCTGGCTCCCCAGCCCCTGAGGGCCAGAGCAAACAGAAGGACTTCACCACCACAAACTGGGCTCCAAATCCTAGGCACCCGGAGCATTTGATTGTCCATACTGTAATGAGTAACACCTGTTGAATGCTTCCTGGGCACACCGTATGCCTTGGCAGTGTGCCGTGATCCTCTGAGGTAGGGGCTACTATTGGAAGCAAAAATAACCAACACAGTTTCGGCACCATGATGAAAGCACAAATAACCAGGATGGAAGAGGCTTCACGGATCAGTAGTGCCTTTTATTCAGGATCACAGTCGGGCATTGGAGGGGCTCACTTTCTGGGTGGAAAATGGCCCTGGTTCCATAAGGGATCTGTGTTTTATAGTTTACAATGAGGGTGGCTTAATCACTGGGGACTGAAGCAGAATGTGTCAGTTTGGGCAGCCAGGAAAAAAGTTGTAAAAAGTCTGAAACTTAGTGTTACTGGGAGGGGATGGAAGCTCAGAGCTCTGTGTGAATTGCTTCTCTTCTTCCTCTGGGACCCATTGTTACCCAGAGCTTCACTATTTGCTTTTCTCCTTCCAGGACTCACATGGGCAAAGGGAAAGGGTGAAAGGCCAGGGCCCAGCGCTGAGCATCTGCCTCCTTGCTTCAGGACCCATATTCACTAGGAAGGGATGAATGTTTTGTCTTCTTCCTCCCCACCTCTTCCTCTCCTCCTCCCAGGGCATCCTGTCTCGGGGGTTGTCATTTTCCAACTGTAATCCCCAGTTCAGAGAAGAAAGCCAAGTTAAGGAGATAAAAGAAGCACACAGCCAGCAAGGGGTGGAAGCCAGAGCTGCCCACCTCCCAGAGCTCACACCTGGATGACCACAACATGCCTCCTCAGGCCAGGCTCTGCAGCTCAGATTCCTATACCTTTGCACAGGATGTAACAGTGTCCCCTTTATGCTTTGCATATAAGCCTTGCTGCTCTGCCACTGCAGCTTATTTTTAAAATGGTCATGTTTCTTTCTTTTAATCTCTCCCTGTTCCTCCCTAATCTCTCCCCTCTTTAATCTCAGGGGAAACAGGATTATCTTTCTTCCCCAACCTACGCATATATATCTGTCCCTGAGTACATATCCACCATAGGAACGAAATAATCCAGACTTTGGGGATGGCACCAGAAGATCTCAGAAATGACCACCTCCCAAATTAACAAGTGAATTACAACTCCAACAGAGAACACGTGGCATGTAGCCTTTGAATCACCTCTTTAAAAGGCTCTGTTCCTGCTGATGGATAGAACCACAGTCTCCTGTGTTTCTCTCTTGCTAGCAAAGCAATAATTCCTTTCTCTCAAAACCGTGTCCTTGTTATCGGATTGGCACTGGGGACAAGGATGGAGATTTTGGCAACAAGGAGAGTTCTATGATCCACAGGAGATTCATGACACTGAGTTTAGGGGTGGTCAGGAGCGGGTGCGAGAGCTGGGACACAAACCCAGGCCTTTCTCCTGAGCCTCTGCACTAGGGACTTAATGGCTGTCTCTATCTGAGAGGCCTGAGGCCCAGTGTTTGGGAGGAAAAAACAGCTGCCCAGGCACTGAGGGGAGCTGCTCAGACACAGAGGGGGCTTTTGGTTAAGGACAGGAGCAGAGGAAAGAGCAATAAAATATGGGTTTTGCATGATTTTTCTCCTTTAGAGGGCAATACCGTAGACCTTAGGCAAAAGAGGCTGATATTAATAATTAAGAGGGGCGAGAGATAAGGTCATATTAATATTCTTAATACAATATCAGCTACACCTATGAGGGGCTCATTTTTTCTGGTACTGATCTGAACACCTCGTGTTGATTTTTTAATGTAAAATTTAATTCAGGACAGGCCTGTGAGGTAGGCACTCTTATTACCTCCATTCTTTCGTCAGAGGAACTGGGCCTCCAAAGAGTAAGCCCTTTGCCCAAACTCACAGAGCTGCTTGATGGGCAGTGCAGGCCCTAAAAGCCAGCTCCTCGGCAGAACGCCATCCTGCCTCTCTGGCAACAGCAGCAACTTTAGTTTGGGTGGTGACTTTTACTTCCTACCTAAATCAAACTCAAGAACTGTTGTTCCCACAGGGAAAGAAAAGGGCAGACATGCTCGGGCTCTGAGAGAACTTCAGCCAAGCCTTCCCTGGTTTCCTTCTCTGATCCCGAGATAAGGGGGAACACAATGAGACCTGGTACTTGGCTTACTTGCAATAACTCTCATAGCCTCTATTTTCTTTTCTGCATTTTACTCAGATGAGTCACCTGGAAACCACTCCCATTTGCCGGAGGTGGGGGCTGGTGTCAGGCCTCTTTGGGGAACCCCTGAGCCTGCCATTCAGGCGCTTCCTGGGGCTCCACTGGGTTGCTGAAAGTGGTTTGTGGGCAGGCCTGTCTGTTCACAGACTCAGATGGAGCCGAAAGCCACGCTGCTTGGTTTCCTGCATTGCCCAGCCTCGCTCAGGGTGCTTCTCTGGGTTGGCTACTCTGCAGTCCTGAGGGAGGTTCAAGCTTCCTGCTGTTCCAGCTCTGCCACTTCCTCCTGTTCCATTTTCTCTAAAGGCTAATTCAGTGGGGAATGAATGTGGTAACTAGAGAAATAATCGCATATTAAAAACAATAATATTGTTGGCGACACTGACGAAAAACCTTATCGTTTTTAATAATGTTTTCATTTTTCAAAGCGATTTCACTTCCAACGTCTCATTACTTCCTCAAAACAACCTGGTTAGGTAAGACACGCAATTGTTTTACAAATGGGGATCAGCAAGGCAAAACGCTGTGGGCCTGGACCCCTGACTTCTCACCAGGGTCTTCTCACCCAAACAGGCTGAATGAAGGGCAGCAGGAGGGACACCATATTCAACTCCTCAACAGGTGGCCCATCTTACTCTGTTGATTTCCTGCTTAAGTTGTTCATGGCCTCCCCATTGTTACTGCTACAACTGCAACATGATCATCTGTGTGGAGTCACAGCCTGAGGACCAGCACACCCTAAACCCTCACCCATCCTTCACTCCGGCCATCTGGAGATCACTGTGGTCTGACCATGCCTTGATCTTTGCTGATTTGTGCCTTTGCAGATTCCCGTATTTATCCCTCTGTAGATTTTTAAACCCACAAACCTTACTCATTCTATCTAGAGAGAATATGCTGGATATTTCAAGTGGATCAAGAGTAAATCAATTTGGAAGTGCTGGACTGAGATACCTCATCACCCATCTTTGCTTAGAGATACATGCTGGGAACCCATCTCAGCAAACATCCATGAAGCCATCAGAGGGCTGGACTGTCCAAGGTCAGGCAAATGAGAATGGAGTCCCAAGACACTGTGAGAAAGTCTGGAATATAGGGGGAAAAATGGTGCTCCTGCAGAGTCTCGGACTCAGTGGGCAGAGGCCCAGGGTCTGGGGAGGACAGAGCTGATCTGTACTGTGCACGGCTTGATCTCTCTGGCAGAGATCCTTATGTTTCTGAAACAATGAGCTCTTCAAGAGCATACGTTGGCCAAGTGTGGTGGTGCATACCCGTCATTCCTGCAGGTTGAGGCAGGAGGATCATAGGTTCGAGGCCAGTCTCAACAACTAAATGAGGCCCTAAGCAACTTGGCGAGACCCTGCCTCAAAATAAAAAGGGCTGGGATGTGGCTCAGTGGTTAAGTGCCCCTGGGTTCAATCTCTATTCCCCCCCACCGCCAAAAAAAAAAGCTGAGAATCCCAGAGCTCATGGCTAAACCAACCTGTAACTGCCCTAGCATCTCTCTGTCCTGAGGCCTCTTTCCAGCCAGTCTCCACTCATGTAGGAGTGTGTTGTTGTGATTCCCCAACTCCCCCATTCCCAGTGAGCCCTGCTTATAGAGCTGGAGAGAAATCAGAAGAAACTATGCAAGTGGCAAAATTCCTTTATATATATATATATATATTTCTTTTTTTTTTAGTTGGACACAATACCTTTATTCCATTCATTTTATTTTTATGTGGTGCTGAGCCTGGAACCCAGGGCCCCATGTGTGCTAGGCGAGCACTCTATGGCTGAGCCATAGCCCCAGCCCGTGGCAAAATTCCTTGGGCCTCCTGAACCCTGTTCCAAATCTGGTTGTAATATTCTGCACAACATAAAGCCACCTATGACTTCCAAGGATACCTTATCCTTTATATGCTCCTCCTTAAAAAAAAAAATAGCTGCTGGATGAATAAATTAATTCACAGCACATTTTAATTCCAAGATGGTTTCTACAGAGCCCTCTTCTTCCCACGGCACGTGTGATAGATGCATGACCTATTTCCCAAATCCCTCATGCTTTCCAAGCCCTGCTTCTCTTGATTTAAAGAGAGAAAACACTTTGAAGTTTCATTTTTATCTTTAATAGCTGGGTGTTACAATGCCAGTGATCTCTAGTGACATGCTACCAACAAGAGCTTTTTCTGAACATCTTACTTCCCGACAATTCCTGCTTCTCTCTCAGATTTTGGATACGTCTTTTAAAGCAAATAGCATCATTTCAGTTAACACACAAAGGGGATGGCTTTTTAAGGCCTGTTGGCATAAATTCATTGTAAAATGGCTCCCCCTTTGTAGGGACTGGATATTGGTGTGGTCATAAACATTGGCTTTTAGCAGTAGACAGTTTCATATAACTTGTAAATGACCATTTTTCATCTAAAAATAATGTTTTTTATGCTTCTGCATAAAAACTCTGCTTCTCAGCTTTTCCTGAATGCATATAATTCCACTTGTCCCTCAGTATCCCTGGGGGATTGGTTCCAGGACCTCCTTGGATACCAAAGTCAGTGTGTGCTCAAGTCTCTTATGTAAAATGGTGTAATAGTTGCATATAACCTAAACACACCCTCCCATATACTTTAAATTATCTCTAGATTACTTATAGTATCTGATACAGCATAAAAGCTATATAAATAGTTGTTATACTGTATTGTTTAGGGAATAATGAAGAGAAAA